GAAAATATCGTGGTTGAAGGGAGTTTTGCGATTCCGACCCATTCGAGCGTATTCTTGGCTTGATTTCCAAGGGAATTATTCGGTGCCATGGCACGCAAGAGCCGATGCTTGGCTAAAATCCCAGAAAAAGACCAAAAGAGAGTGGTGAGGATTATGCCATCAGGTCTGGGGTCGTTGAAGAGGAGAAGAGGGTAGGCTTGTACGTGTAAGAAGAAGTATTTCGGAAAAGTGAGGGTAGAGAATTTATATTTACTAAAGGCCTATTGGGCATTGAAATGTCATGACCTTCAGTCACAGTATGTCAGTGCCAGGTTGGACATAGAGGAAATTGCAAGACCTAGAGTGAAGGGGAAGGAAAGTAGAATGAAGCATGGAAATAATTGCACTGTAATGGTTGATAATGTTACTATTGATGTTTACTTCATCGCCTTTCTAAGTATTCATTCCCTACTGACAAACGAGGGAAAAATGTGTTGGCCAAAACCTCTCTCTCTCCCACTGCCACCCCAGCCCCGGACTAACGTGGATGCCAAGTACCCTTAAACAAGACAGCCCAAAGCTACTAGACATAGTCGAAGAGTTCTGCAAAAGACCCCCATAATGCCAGTCCCAGACAAGGTGTACCTTCCCCTGGGGTCTAGCTGGACCAGCCTCTATGAATCATTCCAGGACTACATGGAGGAAGAAGGATTGGATCATAAAGCCATTATTCTAACCAAGTTCATAGCTAAAATACAAGATTACGAGAGAAGCATCACTGCCTCCAAATGCTCCACCTGCTACAACTCTGATATGTTTAGGATACAGTTTGAGTCCCTGGATTCTGTGGCTGACAAGGAAAAGATTGTATCCCTGATACGCAATAGGCATTAGCTTTATATCTTCATTGTGTCAGTATTAGCAATAAATGATTATTCTGGAATAAAACAACCTGTTGCCAATAAGAGGATAATTTTTGATTGATAATTATAGTAAAAATATTTATTAGCTATATTAGTTTCATTGATATCTAATGTAGGAATGAATTGCAAGTATATTGAACACTACTTACTATATGCTGAAAAAACTCCATCCTATGTTTTATTTTTTATTTTTTTATTGTATGTCTGCCACTTAAACCCAGCTTTAGATGCTCATATCTTAAAAGTAAGAAATTAGCGCACTGGCACCATGTCCATAAGGTGCTTTAGATACAGTAACTTGGGGCTGACTGAACAAGACTGAGGCAGGACATTAGTGTGAATGAAATGGAATATTGTGGGCTTGAGGCTTTTTTTTTGTTTTTTTTTAAGAGGAAGGTTTATTATTCTCATCACTTTCATGTACCTGAATTGTAGTTGTTGCTGAATGCTGGCATTCTTACAAGGGAAATGATATATAATCATTCAGACTGAGATTGATGTCATTCACTTTCGTTTGGAAAAGTTAATTATATCATACATGTCTAATTGCCATAAGATATTGGAATATTTACCAAGCTGAATTTTTTTTCAATTTTATTTTTTATTATATACATTTTTTTTTTTTTTTTCGTTATAGTATTTCATTGACAAATAAAGTCTTTGATTGACTAAGCAATTCAGACATATTCCTAGTGATTAATATGAACATGTTTATTTCAGTTCCCAAGACGCAGACCTAATGCCAGTCGATGATACTGCCAAATCAGCATGTAAGACAGTTTGGACACCTTATGCCACCAGGTCCAAGTCTAAAAGAAGAAAGGCTAGAAATCTAAAGGTATGAGTTAGACCATAATGATATCCTGTCGTCTGTGCATTACTTGAGATGTAAATTCTCCCTCACATTTAGATATCTTCCTTAACCCAATGTCACCAGAGATGTTTAATGTTTACCGTAATATTGTTATGTAAAATGTATATATACATAGGTGGCTCCACAAGGGCAAAACCACCAAGGAGACAATTAGTAGACCTTGTGAACTCAACAAATTTCTCCTTTCTTTTAGTTTTTGGGATTTTTTTTTCTAATGTGATTAATGTTGATGCTGTTATTATTATTGACACTGTGATTATTACAGTGCTATTAACAATAGAGCAATTTTATATAAAAATAGATATTTCCAAAAATCAATGAAATAGTGTTTAACAGAGTCCATGGTGACTAAGTACTTGTGAAGCCATCTATGCATAAGTACAATTAATAAGCTAATCTCATAGTACTAGGACAAGGCTGTCATCCCTAACAGCATTGAGTTATGTTCTTCATTTTATGAATAAAAATAAATCTGATACTTATGAACAAAATGTAATTATGAATGACTAAACAGAGCTCAATACCTTATCTCATAGAAGCTTTATGTAGCAAAAGAGTCTGATTGACATAGCAAACCCTAAGAGTCTCTGTAGTGCTTTGTCTTGCCAGGAATATACAGTTACTACAAAAAAACTGGACCTAATCCTCATCTAACCAAACCTTAACAGATGGTTACCTCTCACTTCAGTATAATGATCAGCATTCATATTTTGCTGGGAGGGAAGTACAAGCCACCATTGCCATTAGCACCATTGAAACTTCCCCAGACATTGACAGATTCTGTGTTTAATAGTAAGAGAGGCTCTGTTATATCAGTGTGCTGCTGAAGAAAATTGATTAGGAAGAAACAAGGAACCCCATAATATTGGTTACTTTGGGCTGGAACTACCCTGCGTAAATCTTTTCTCATGAATAAATAGTAGCGACTGAATGTATTGATACCCCTTTTCAGTTGTCCCTATCATGAAGTCTGAAGTGTCCAGTGGGAGTTGCTTTCATCAGATTTTGATTTTTGCAATAAAAACAATCTACTTTATTACCACAGGCAGTCAGAAAGTTTTTTTTTTTTTGTGGTGATTGTACTTAATTTTTCCCTGTTACTATCTTTCTAAATTTAATTTTTTTATGTAAAGTATGATTAACATCATCTGACAGCAAACCATGAGCAGCATTATTCTTTATGTTGGATATTCATTACAGAACATATTACAGTTTTTAACTTTCCCAATAACATTTATTTTAATAGAAAATATTTTGCATATATTGCTGCTATTCATAACCATTGGTAAAAATGGTCTAACATATCTGTATAGTGATTTCTTTCTTTCTTTCTTTAGTATATCTCACTGTTCCATTTCAGGAGTGATGATATTATAAATAATTTGTAAAGTGTTTATTTATTATGTTATCACATTTTCTATTTCATTCTCTTACACAGAAAAAAAATCACGTTATGTACACTACTATCAGAATTTATATCAAGAAAAGATTAACAGTTTTCTTTAAAAAATATCCATATTATTGGTTGATTAACTATTCTTTTTCTTTCCTTGTATCTTTGTATATTTTAAGTATTGTACATATGCCTAATAAGCCGCTCTTTTACTTTAAGGAACTGGAGAATGATCACACAAATACTGAGCATAAAAATGAACTACCATCCAAGAGGCTAAAAGGAGATGAATTTGACGTAAGTTCAGTTTAGCCGTATTGTGTTTAGAGAGCATGTAATCACACACGATCTGTATCATGCATTAAAATCACATTATCTTTTATTAGGGTTCATTAATGAGATTTTGCACAATAACCCATGTGTTTAGTTTATAGAGAGTATTAGTTTATAGAAAAAAATGGTGGCCGCTGGATATTTTTTATTTTTGTTGTATTCATATTTTTGTTCTGAATTAAAGGGTAACTTCCCACAAGGCTCAATTTTCTAATGTTCTATGAAGTGATTACGACCCCAGCTATTTGTAGTATATAGGGGAAAGGGGTAATTTATAGAACCTGTAGGTCAAGGTTATGCATGTTTCAGCTTCTGGCCACTCCATTTTTATATTTTGTTTACTATAGGATTCTTCATTATAAACTATATAGCATACTTTTTTTTTTTTTTTTTTTTTTTTTTATACATATAAGGATTGACAGGACTCTAGTATCCAAAAATTTTGACTTTTGAGAGAGAGAGAGAGAGAGAGAGAGAGAGAGAGAGAGAGAGAGAGAGAGAGAGAGAGAGAGAGAGAGAGAGAGAGAGAGAGAGAGAGAAGGAGAGAGAGAGCAGAGAGAGAGAGAGCAGAGTGTAGTAATGTAGATCTCTCCTCTGTGTTGCAGGGTAGCAGCCCATCAAGTGGTGTCTGCACATTTCCAGCATGCGTCAAGGAAGAACCTCCCGATGTAACACACTCTCAAGAGCATACAGATGATCAAGTAAGACAACAAACTAAAAATACTGAATGAAGTATATTTATGAATTATAATTATTTTTATAAAAAGTAGTTTCATTGGCAATAGAACTCTTTTGACATTTTCTTGATTACATTTATATTTTTTATGATATTTATCCTTATATGATAGTCATTGTGATGTGTTTATTCATTATGTTATTGGTAATTTTCTTTTGCAGATTTTTATCAAACAAGAAGTTATACTTAAAGAAGAGGTGTTCGGAGGTGATGAGAATGTTGAAAGTCCGGTAATTTACCCTCTCTCTAATAGTGACAGCAATGAATCATCAGCATCAGTTTTGGAACCAACATTATTAGGAACGTTAGACCACTCAGAGCTCCACAAGTGTCTCCTGAGAACAGAAGTCAACAGCATAAGCCACTTGAACCCTCCTGATATTCAGCCAAACACCACAGTGAATTCAGATACCCTTGAAGATAAGAAAGAAACCTTGTAAGTATGAACAAAGTGTGTATATACACACAGTGACTTCACACACACACACACACACACACACACACACACACACACACACACACACACACACACACACACACACACACACACACACACACACACACACACACACACACACACACACACACACACACACACACACACACACACACACACACACACACACACGAGTTATGAGGATATGCAGCCAGTTATGCACAGGAGGAAGAGTTAAAGATAAAACATGTATTTTCATGTGTCGCACAAATATACTAACATGAAATTATTTTTATTTGCAGAGTGCTGAATTATGTCCAGACAAA